AATTTAATTTACAACTTGCACACAATTTACAAACTTATTAGCATAATTGTGACTTATTAGCGGACAGTTAGACAAGAAGTCATTATTAGCATATTTTACAGCAAACAGGCAGGCAGGAAGACATGTGTGTGTAGGTATATGTTTTATATTGCTATAACATGGAGAAAATAAGATGTCGGGACACCGTACGTAGTGCCGATTTCATACAAACAACGGAAAAGCCACCCCTGCTGCTGATGCTGTACTGGTTGGGGCTCAAGGACGGTCGACACTGTGAGTGGGCGAACTTCAGACATCTTTGTAATTCGAATAGAATATGTATTTTTTATTCAGTACATTTTGTTATGCTTTTTCTTTATAGCATAAAAAATGTTTAAATGCGATGCGTGCGTGTGTGTGTATATGGGTGTGGGTATGGGTGTGAGTGTGTGTCTGCGTGTGTGTGTGCGAGTGTGTGGGGTGTGGGTGTGTCTCTCTCTGTGTGTGTGTGTGTGTGCCTATCTCTCTCTCTCTCTCTCTCTCTCTCTCTCTCTCTCTCTCTGTGTGTGTGTGTGTGTGTGTGTGTGTGTGTGTGTCTGTATGTGTGCTGTGTGTTCGTGTGTACCTGTGTGTGTGAAGTAGTTTTACCTTCTGTTGCAATGTCTAAAGAACAGGAGCAGGAGACTCAACGTTTTAGTCGACACGTTGGCTCCGATAAAGATCGTTTTGAAGACATCGTGTCATCTTTCAAAAAATATTTTAATCCCTATTAATTAGTAACAATTGCCGACAAGTTAGAAGCATTTGAAGGCCGCTGTAACTTCCGTCAGTATATACCTTCAAAATCAAACAAATGCGGTATAAAAATATGCAATCACCGATGCCAAAATACTTTATACGTCGAATCTGAAAGCTTATATAGGATAACAACATGAAGGGCCATATGAAGTCGATACCGGGTCTCACGTATTAGCGTCTTTGTAGTTTAAGGGATGGGTTTGATCGAAATGTAAACGTATGATAATTTTTTCATAAGCATCCCTTTAGTCGACAGATCGATACGGGATTACAATTTAAATGTGATAGACACAATTCGCAAGAATAAAAAGGAATTGCCAAAGGAATTTATTAATGTAAAAGGTCGTAGAAAAAAGCCCAGTTAATTTGGACACCGAAATAACTGCATTCTCGTTTCATATGTACCAAAGAAAAATAAAAACGCTTTACGTATATCTTGTATGCAGGCTGATGCTCGTATAAATGGAGAAACGGGAAAACCAAAGATAATAATTATAGACTATAATGCGACAAAGTGGGCGTGGACACAGTAGACAAAACGTGCGATACCTAGAGGAACTAATCGGTGGCCGATGGTTATTTTACAGCCTTATGAATATTGCGGGGATAAATTCTTATATGGATTAAACAATATCAACATAAAAACGAGCCGTAGGTAGTTTCTAAAGATCCTTTCGTATAAACTCTTTATGATTTATCTAAAAAAAGGACATTAATTTTAAATTTGCCAAGAACGCTGAGACAAAGGATGTTGGAAATATGCAAACTTGATAATTCAGAACCTTCATCTTCTAATAACCATGAAGCATGTTGTTATTCATTCTGTTTTTCCAAAAAAATCGATATACACGATATAACTGCATGAATTGCAAACAAATATATTTGTCTCGATCATGCAGCTATGGTATATTCCGATTGCTAAACCAATTAAAAAATTAATGATTAATACTCTTTTATTATTTTTGTTATCTTCGCTTATTATTAGCTTAATTGGTGAAATAATCTTAATTTTTCTTTGACACAAAAAAAAATTGATTTTGTTACGTGATAACGCTAGAAATACAACACCGGTGTTGCTTAAGTCTATTTCTTTTACGTCGGTTTATATCTCGGTTTTTGATGCTATTTTAAATGAAGAAATACAAAATACTCATCAAATACTCATTACATACAATACGCGATTGAGGACTTATTATAAATAAACTAAATTTTCCTTTTCAAAATAAAAAATACCATCCTTTTCATCGTCATTTACGAGTTACTTTAACATTTTTCTAAAAGAATATTTCGATGTCGTGACGGTAGGTGCAACGAAACCACACTGAGTTTAATCAGAGCTAAACTGTTTGTTTTAGCCCTCATTTACTGCGGCCGTTTTTGAGCGCGCGCACCTCGTCTTTTTTATACACCTACGATAGAAACACTTGAATTTAATTACGTCGCGATCTCGACAAAGTTTGAACGTTCTCGGATCGAGTGAAATACTATGGCGCTGGCGCTACGTGTAATACATATAATATATATATATATGAATTTAAAAACAAATATTATAATTACGTACTATAATTATAATCAAATATTAATGCACATCTTCAGCTTTCTTCACGTTGACTGGTATATTAAAGAATATCGACAGGAACTGCATAAAGAAAATGCCAACGGTTGACAATTTTATGAGAAAATCGCAAAAAACTGTGAAAAATTGGTATTTTAGGGAGTTTCCAAATGGTACTTGCAAACTTATTTAGATATATTTTTTTAAATTTCTAACCTTCGTATTACGATATATGGAGTGTTCTTCTTGGAAATAATAAAAATGTACGGAATTATAAATATTTTTAAAATCGGCTGTTTCATGATTAAGACATATGTCAAATGTAAATGGGAGTACTGATATGTCACTAAAAACTGACTTATACGGGTTTATAATGGCTAAAAGATATATTTTTTAAATTATTTAAAAACATTAAAAATAGAAAGAATTTATGATTTCTACTCTGCCAAAAATATTGTTTTGAGGCTGATTCTCCTTTCTATTTTATTTCTTTTATGCCTATTGTTATTGAGTTTATTTTCAATTCAATTTCAAAATAATTTTATTTCATAGGTTGTAATATAACACTTGAAATAGGTCATTAATATAAAAAAATATACAGTTTATTAATTATTGCCCCTTTTTTTAATTACTACTCGTTCGTCAAACAGTTATGTACCCGATTATCTACACAATGTACTTGAAGGTCATACAAAGAATGAGATCTGTGAATTTTTTAACAGTATACTAATGAATATCTACGACTTTCGTCGTGTCAAGTCAAATATTTAATAAGGTACTAATAAACATATCAAGGATTTTTCTGTCTCGAACAGATTTTTTATACTACACTGTTAAATACGAGGGGCGGCTGATAAGTCCGCGGCCCAAAGGTGCGATGACTCATTATTTCAACTATTACCACTAATTGCGACACTTCTTGTTGGTATAAATATAGCTTCCTGTTTGTTAGATAGTCATTAACAAATTATCTGTCGAAACACAAACGTCATCATGTCAGCCGAATCGTCAAATCTCAGTAATATTGAACATCGCGCCGTAATAAAGTTGCTTCGTAAAGAAAGGAAAAACGCCCAAAGAAATTTTGAAGACATGGTATCAGTTCTTCAGGAATCTGCGCCTTCTTAATGGTCAAAATGAACAAAAGCTTATTTCAACAAGGACGAGAGAGCTGTGAAGATGATCCTCGCCGGGGCGTCCCAGTGACGGAGAGAAAATGTTGAAAAATCGAAAAATTAGTACTGGCCGACCGAACAATAAAATTATGGCAGATAGCTGAAGAGTTGCAGATTAGTAAAGAATGAGTTGGAGAAATTATATACGAGTATAAATATAGAGAAAAATCAGTGCGTTGGTACCAAAATGCTGCCGTTTGACAAGCAGCGGCGACTTCAGACAAAGTAGGATTTTTGGAGTTAGCCAGGGATAATATAGACGAAATTTGCGACCAAATTGTAACCGTGGATGAAACCTGGGTTCGTCAATACGATCCGAATCTAACACAGGAATCCATACAATGGACGAAAAAGGAGAAAAGCCGCCGAAGAAATTCAAGGTTCAAAAGTCGGCATCGAAGCTTATGGCGACAATTTTGGGATAGTGAAGGTGTTTTACTAATTGTGTTGCCAAAGGGACTACTATGAATGGCCAATATTACGCGAATTTATTGGCTTAGGCACGAGCAGTCGTACAGAAGCGACGTGGGAAGTTATCGCGCGGTGTTTTACAAGACAATGCATCTGTCCACGGCGCAGGTTTCGAGGCAGGCCCTGAAGGACACGGGCTTCTCAGAAATTGACCCCCCTACAGCCCAGATCTAGCTCCCAGCGACTATTTCCTTTTCAATTTAAAAGGAGTTACGTGGTCGAAGATTTGTTGATGACAATCAAATGAAGATGGCTAGAAAACCATTTTGACTGCAAAAGGAATATTTTTGGGCGGTTTGAAGATACGATGTTTGTATTTCTTGAAGGGACTGTATTGAAAAAACAAATAAAATACTCGTACTTTTCTTTCATTTAATGCCTTAGGCCGCGGACTTCAGCCGCCCCTCGTATCTCCGGCTTTGTCCGTGTCGAACTGATTTATCATTGAAGTCTATTTTTCTTTTATTTCTCCCGATAATTTTATTGCATAGATACAATTGTTGAAAAAAAATCCGATAACATTTAAATTTAGAAGTACAAAGCAGAAATACTAGCCATGGCTTACTAAAACAAATCAGGATCGTTGGTTTAAGATGCTTCTCGTAATGCTTTCCAATTGAATATTTGAAGAAACTTTTTATCAGATTCGGAATTTATCATGCAACCAATAAAAAAAATAACAAACTTTTAAATAGAACTGTAAATAAATTTTGTAGTGTGTACTTTGTTGATCTAAATAAAAATGAAATGTCACTTCCTTACATTTTGTATGTCAACCCTATCGAAGTAACCGTCGTCCAGCGTCATACCAGCCGAGCCGACACAGTCTACGGCGCTCCGACGTCTTTTTTCTCCGTGGTAACAATCTACATTATGAGAGGAAGTTTTTTTGAAACGAAGTTCCTTATCGCACCTTACACTCGGGCGTTCGGCGGATGGGAGCCGCATGAAAAAAGGTGCAACCGCAATGAAAAATGCTGACCGCTATTGCTTTAGTTAACATTTTTATAAGTTTGTTTGCCGACGTCCATTCCGCGCTGAATACACCGGTTGTCGTCCAATCACCGAAATTACGCAGCGTCGGGCGGGATCAGTAATTGGACGGATGACCTCCCGGGAACCCCGCGGGATGTCAGCTTTTTTTGATGTTGCATTCTTTATATGGTAATTCATAATAAAATATTAATTATAATTTTTAATTAAATATTTTATCAAAATTCCTTCATTCGTTTGTTGTATTTTTCGTTTCATTAATCTCAAAGGGTGTTAATTTATTTCATTGTGTTTGTATATGATTTGTGATTCCCCTTTTATTTATCTAAAATATTAAATTAAACTCTGGGATTGTGTCAGTTCTGGAGAGTATTCAATTTTAAACTTTAAATAAATAAATACTTATACAAATATGAGCAAGTGCCACCTATTATTGATTTCATAATTACATAACTACAAATTGACGAACTTAACAAAGTCTTTAATAAATAAAACAGACGGCACTGTTTAGTGTTTTTTTTAAATTTTAATAATTAGTAAAAAATTGTTTATTGACCACTTACAAATATTTCTTACCATTTATTATTACATATTACTATTATTTATTTAATTATTTCCAAAGGTTTTGATTAATTTTATTGTTATTATACAATTTATGAAATATATTTAGGTGCGTATGACGAAAGGTATCATTAGTTTTTTTTTACATTTAAAACGTGATATTATATTACTAGTACGTGGACAACCGACCTTTTCTCGGCATTTTACAAATTCTCGGTTGCAATTATAAAATTTCTAATGACAAAAATTGCTATTATTCACTTCCAACAATAATAGTAGAAAATAAAATTGATTGCAAAATTAATGTACGTATTTCTTTTAGATAGTGGCATTTATTATTGTGCAGATTGACATAGCAACAATATAATTATGTACTTCAATATGTCAAGAACGGCGCCAAATATAACAATGTTATTGTTCATTTACCTCGTTTTTCCAAGGTATGCCCTAACATAAATAAACTTGAAATGAATACTTATATGGAAATAAAAATATTCATCGATATCTTTTGAGACCTTTGCGAGATGGTCATAGCATACACATTTTATCTGTACACGTGCCGCTCATTGAACAGTATGCATAGGGTCGTCATTGAAGCCGGCGTGCTATTGTCATGTATTTCGTGTCATCATGAATATACCCTATAGGGTGAATCAAGTGGCCGGACACCCCGTGTCGCTGACGCGCCGTTGTCAATGTCGCGGATCTCACTGCAAACGACACGCTTTACTCATAGTTTGGTGTACTAAATCTTCCGAGTCGCATTATCTTTGTACCGGCGCCCCCATTATTTCGTACGTCAGAAAAATGTCACGCAGACGCCGTGTTACTTAATCATATATTTCGCGACGAGTTCAGTGTCGGTCATAACCGGCAGTTGGGTACACAGACATACAAGACGGTTTTGTATAGTTGTGTTTGACTAGGGAGATGAAAAAAAGGTCGAGCTAAAGTCGGTGGATTGGCTCAGAGATTGCTGGGGAAGTGGGAAACATTAGCAGGAAATTAAAAAAAATAAAAACACACTGTATAGCATAAAATTAAGTCGCTATCGGTGCCTGTGTTTGTTTGTGCTTCTAGTTATTCTAAATTGTGCAAAGGATTTTGATTTGGTTCTTACTATGTTTTAAAGAGTTTCTTCCACAAAATCTATACGTACAATACATGCTTATTTTATTTATAGAAAGTAAAAATGTCAATGTTTTTTAATCAAATCATACAAAAATATACAATTATTAGAGAATAGCGAACAGAAGTGACAACGAGACGGTGAAATAACAGTGATATTTTTCTGGATTATCAAATTGATTGTTAAATCAGAAATTAAACCATCATAATTTGAAAATGAAAATCGTTAAATTTATTTGTTTTTCTCGGGCATTCCGAGCAACAATCATATACATTTTTATAAAGCTCATTTATTAATTAAACACAAAATGAACTGTCGAAGTCCGGTAAATTCGAAATAAAAGTCAATATGCATATCAAAATTTGAAATAGCAAATTAAGATATTTCATTTAAGCAAGACAACAATAATTTTGCAATTTAATTAAATTGGAAATAAAATATTGACTGCAAAAACGTTTTCGTACATACTATTTATTCGCATAAACTGCTAACATTAGCATGTTGGTAACGCGAACTCATAAGATCTTAGCCAATCGAAATTCACCTAACGTACCTGTAGAAATTTTCACTTCGTAAATATATTTTCGGGCGCATATTACACGTATCAACATAACATATTACATTACATAAAATAATTCCAAAAATTTCGTATATTAAAAAAATAACTATCGTAAAAATCTAGGTTGATATGTGTCCATCAGATAACTCACAACAACCATTTTTAATAGATTTCATAAAAATCTAACTGTTGTATTTGTCTTCATGAAGAAACTTTTGAAAAATTTTGCTGTTTTTCGACTAAACTCGACGATCTGAGTCAGAAAATGCATGTGATTCAAATTTTGTATATGTATATATACATATATATATTTAAGATATAACGCGGGACTTGTCAGCACGATAGCGTCAACAAATCTTTAGACATCGTAATTAAACTCAACATACATGTTCTATGGACGATTACAAAGGTCGTGTTCAAATTTGAGCCAAATCGGTTAACTTGTTTAGAAATTACAGCATTTTAAAATTTTGAAAATCCGAAAATTACATATATCATACATATGAAAAAAATGAAATCTACTTCCATTTCGGCTGCCAAATGGTCTTTTTTTTAATTTTCGCATACATAATGCGTATATTAGTTATATTGAGGATTTCATGTAAATTTAAATTGCAATTTTCAGTGTAATATATAAAAGTGAATGTCTGTGTGTTGTGCCTCACATTACATGTCTGTACATTCATTCGATTGAGTTGAAACTTTGGTGATGCGTTGTACGCGCGAACGGAAAATCTTCTGAAAAAAACTAACGTTTGTCGTTTGTCCAGGTAATTGTGCCATTGAATCGAACTATTAAACTGACTCTAAAAACTATTTCACTAATAGAAATGCACAATATACTAGGATGTGTCACTAACATTTTTCCCGGCTTCGTCTAAGTCGGAACCGCGACCGATAGCGAGATGTTTTTCGCTAGATAAAAAGCCTTTCTCATGTATCGGTTTGTCGAATTCAGGGAATGGAACTCATTCCAGATTTCGACTTAGGCTCAGACTCCAACTGATTTGCCGTTCGCCGAGCGGAGTACGTGTCTGTACACACATGGCCGCGGCTTGCGTTTATCTTTGAAAGCAGATTCGTCGAAAGGTACCACAATGATAGCATTTAAAAAGTTCAATTAAAAATAAGTTTCTTCTACATATGTATTCCTAATATAAATTATAAAAATTAAATATTAATTTGACTTTTTATTATTTTTACTTGTTACATTTGTTAATATTTATCAAGTATTATTAAAAATTCCGGAAAATTGAATAGCATTATTTATATTTTTCATAATGCCCTGAGTTTACACCTACGTAGCACACTGTGATTAATATATATATATATATATATATATATATATATATATATATATATTTATATTGTGATTTGTGTGTTTTGTATTCATATGTTTCAGTTCCATAAAACCGTAATACATATTTGTAATATAAAGTCGAATGATATAAAATATTAAAAGTATATCTCAATACATCTTATAGACAAACTCTTTCTTGTACCACACCATCGATGACGTAAGTAAGGACCACCAAAAATGCGACCCCCATTCTTTACCCCCTTCGTTCGCACCTCCACGACTGAACGTGACTGAACCAAATATTTCACGCGTCGTTTGCGCCAAAACAAATTACATCGGTAGGATCATCTGCGACCATAGTGACGATCTGTTTGGCGCACATGTTGTATTTTCAGTGTAAGTAATAGTTTGTTTTCATACTTCCCTTCTACTAATAGTTCACATAGAGTATTTTTCAATTAAATGTTCCGTCATACTAATCACATTTTTACATTATTGATATCAGAAGCCGAGACACATGTGCATAATTTACATATCTCATCACCTAAAAATCCAATTACAAAGTAAGAAAAAAAGATTTAAAAGTAAAAAAACAATAAAAAAAATCATGTTGATTTTCTCCATTCGCTTTTATAATCTTCTGTTCAGGGATTGCTTTTATTTATATTATTTTTATTTTGTTTCTTTATTTTGTCTTCTGTAATACAAATGCATACTTTATTTTATATTGTATTAAGCTATCCTTGGTTTAGGTCATAATTTAAGAATTCTTTCTATAAGTATTTTGAGGTAAATAGTTCCATTGACGTTACCATAGCTTTTGTTTTATTTTTCCTTTGTAAACAATACAGAGTTTGATATACATGATTAACAAATTATTTATAAACAAAAAAATAAATATCTTCTGTTATTTATACCTTCATTTCTGTTCACTATTTGATTTACGTTGGTGTAATTGAATTTCAATAATCTATATAATTTAACTTACATTAAAATGGTTTTATTTTTAAGCCCAGAAAAATTACTTTCTCAATAAATATAATAAAAGGCAGTTACAGGTTCTTCGATATAAATACAACTCAGAGGTTTCCTGCACTTATCAGTTTCGCAATGCAATTAATGAAACCAAATATAACAGTAAGTAATCCGCAAAACATAAAGTTACTTCAATATCGAACCGACTTTGTTTGTAACCGTCATTTTAAATTCACAACTGAACTAAACATCAATGACACTTTCTATTACTGCAATTCAAAACTGGTTTTGATTATTGATAAACAACATACCTCTTTTGACAGCAGCGTCGAACTTTGCGCACTAAAACATTTTTTCTCATCATCGGTCCACACTGTTCTATGTATTATCAGATTTATTCGTATATATGATAGATTTTATAACAGTTCGTCGAGTTGTTAACGCAGATTCTCGTAATAACTCACACACGTCCTCTCTCCTCGCGAACGCGAAAGCTACTGGGGAGGAATTCCTCTCATCCCGCCGAAGCTTTCACGCAGCTATGTTTATTTATACAGCTTGATAATCTACAATGAGCTGTATTACCAAGGTTCGGAAAGGTCAGATTCTAAGTTCGCC